GCTTTTAGCCACTCAGGATAATGTCCCAGGGCCTCACTGGTGATGCAAGGGATTAAGATGCAACCTATGAAGGTGTTTGCAGCCTCTGCAGCACAAGTTCAATCCCCGGCCCCCTGCCAGCCAGGGAGCAACCCACATGGTGCAGCAGACCTCTCCTGACTTGCCCGCTGCTCCCCTCAGCAGTGTACTTTGGTCAATCTGCCTATTCTGTTCCCCACTCTGTCTCTGGTGAATTCTCTTACCCCCACACATACCTCTGGCCTGTACCCCAGCTCTTATATGCATTAATAAATAAATCTTAAAAAAAAAAGATAATGTCCCATAAGTAAATCCCTTATCATTAAAACTACTACCTACTAAACTGGGGTAGCCTGCATCTTTCTTTTGCCCTCTGTACGTGGGGGTTAGTTTTGGATTACACCTGGGATGCACCTGAGTTTTGCTCCAGTGCAACCACAATCCACAGGCAAAGAAAAACATGAGATTTTACCTCTCCAAAACTTTTACAAGAAAAGATTCTTCATACAGGAATCAATAAACACAGTGGTTCAACAGGTGTACCGAGTAGTAGGGCATTTTATCTCTGATCCAGTTCTCAGTATTAGTTGCCATCATAGAAAAATGCAAATGGATTAAAAAGTTTGAGAGGTGGGCCTCCCTGGTGGCACAAGGGGTTGAGCACTGCACTGTGAAGCAATCTGCAGCCTCTGCAGCACGAGTTCAATCCCCCATCAGCCAGGTAGCATGGCACAGCAGATCTCTCCTGTCTCACCCGCTGCCCCTCTCAGCAGTGTGTTTCAGTCAGTCTACTTGTTCTGTTCCCCACTCTGTCTCAGGTGGATCCTCTCTCCCGTCCACATCTTGGGCCTGTACCCCAGTTCTTGTATGCATAAATGGATAAATCTTTTAAAAAGAAAGTTTGAGAGGTGAGATAAAGCTTTCAAAAAAGTTTTCTATTTATCAGTTGGAAGAGTCAATTCATAATTAAAGAACCATTATATCTAATTGTTGATTTTGACTTTCATAAAGAAAAAGCTTGATTCAGTAGATAAAGTGGTCATTTATTAAACATACAAGATTCACTTAACTTGAAATACAATTGGGTGTTATGATATCAATATTTAAATAATCTTACTAATAATCTTACTATTTGTGTCATGCAAGTCTGTAAACCTAATAAACCACACAAGCTTCATATTATTGGCAAGCAACCTGGGTCTAGGGGAATAATAACATTGCTGTCATCATTGTGCTTCTTAAATAAAAGGACATGGCGTTACATCTAAATGAGAGAAAGCCCATGTTCTCAATATGTGAGAAGACAAGCTTCAAATACAGCACCCTAACCCTTGACCACTGTGTCTCAGATATTTATATTAGATTAAACCTTTTATAAAAGAATGGTTTTTAAATATATATGTAGATTCTTTGTGTTGATTCAAATCATTTTTAGCATTATTATCATTATGTTTTTTTTTAAATAATAAATTTTATTTTTATATTCCCCCATACAATTGCAAAAGCCCCATTCTGACCCCAATCCTTCCCTTCCCACCCCCCACCCCCCAAAAAGTGTCTCTGGTTCATAGTTTTTTGTTGATTTTGATTTTCACTTTCTTATATTCATTTTCCTGGTCCCTTATTTAAGTTTTCTAGATTCCTGCTATGAGTGAGACCATCCGGTATTTTTCTTTTTCTTTTTGGCTTATTTCGCTGAGCATGAGCCCTTCCAGCGCCATCCATGTTGCTGCAAATTGCATGTGTTTATCTTTTTTGAATGCTGAGTAATATTCCATGGTATATATGTACCACATCTTTATTATCATTATGTTTTATTATACCATCTCTATTAGTTATCAACCATATTATAAATTATTTCTGAGGAAGCATATTTAAATATTTATAATTATAAAACTATACATCAATTACTTACTATGTAATACTGATTACTGGCTTATAAATTCTGTATATATGAGAATCTTAAACAAGTTACTAGAATTACAAACTAAAGTCAATCAAATTCTAATAGCATATTTATGTGCTACTTCTCCTTGAAAGTTTTTTTTTTCCAATTTTCTGGAACAGTGTAAAACATTTATTCATTTTAGGGGGACACATCCTATAGTACCAAAGCAAGGTAAGTATATATACTTAGTTACTGTATTCAAAACAAAAACGAGATTCCCAAAGAGAAAATAATGAAAATGTATAAAAATATATTTTATTTAAAGAAGAAAATTCATTATGCCCAGAAACTAAATAGTTAGAATTATCTGACTCTATTTCTATTCAAAAAAATAGTATATTTGTCAAAAAGATAAGGGAACCATTATGAGTCAGATGCATAAAAGACAGGCAGCATGACCACCCATTAGCCATGACAATAGGTAAAATTGGCTTCTTTTACATTCACTACTCAACTCAAGGAAAAGGTAGTCAAGATGCTCGTCTATGCTCTCAAAAATATTGAGATTACAGCTTCCTGTGTGGTTACTAAGAATCAAATGAAAATGACGGCTCATCACCAGTGAAGGCTTCACACCTCATTGAGAATCCAAGTAGGAACATGATCTCTGAATCATAGTATATTGTCTAACACCGGAATGACTACAAAATGCTACAAAATGACAGACTGATCAATAATGTGCATGGTTTAAGCAGCAGCAGAAGGCATCTAGGGCATATGTTAGTTAATATATTAAACTCCCTGCATATTCTTTGAGAAGACAGGTTTTTATCTTTGTGAAATGAGATATCAAAGAAGGGGAGGAAGTGTTGCACTGAATTGACAGACAAAATTGTTCTTTTTTTAGCATTGCACGCAGGCAGAAGATATCAGGAATTTGTATTTCTAAATTGTAAAATACTAATTTCAATAACTTAAAGTCTACTTTGATGCATAGCTAATCAATAACTGCAGAATAGTGCAGACCTCTTACACAGGGGTTGTAGAATGGGTAGGAGAAACCATAAAGGAAAAAGACTTATTCACAGTAGACACTAAATCATGGAAACTAAACAAGTATATCTACCTGCTTTCTAAGGCTATCTAAAAAATAACCTCTCTCTTTGCCTGCCAATCACAAAATTTATTATTTCATGTTATATATATTAGCTTTAGCCAACTGTGTGTTCTCTATTTTCCCTGGGTATGAATAGCCTAACAGAACCATGCTAAAGATGAATAACAATGGCTCATAGAACCCAATTGTATGCATTTCTCCTCATCTTCATGGACATTAACATCCCATTGGTGGTTAAAATTGATGGAGACTTTACAGAGGTTACCAAACAACCATCTAGTTCAAAGGCTTCTTGAATTGTATCTGCTGGGCTTCAGTCCCAACAAGACTGGATATAGATATTTATATTTTGTTTCAACCAGGTCTCATTCATTATGAATGATGAAAGTAAAGGATATTAAATTCATGTTCAATTTGCCTGAAACAAAGCTTCTTTTCTTAATTATTGCAAAATCTTCCTTCTTGGCCTACTTGAATCCATTCAGTGGCCCCTTCCAACCTACTGACGGCACCATATATAACAAGAAGGATGTCTGTATAAAGATGTTTAATGGCCTCAAATAAAAAAGCAGGATCCCTATCTTGCTAAAATAGGATCCCTTTGCCTGCCCCCTGTCATTTCCCCCAGCACACACATACACACTGGATTGGCATTATGGCACTGACCCCCCTCACCCATAGACATACCAGCCGTGCTTTGATTCCTTATATTTCCCATGTTATTGCTTGTTTCAGGGATTTTGCATATGCCAGACCTCATGTGCCACAAGGTACTATATGAAAATCTCTTTCCTGGAAAGTATTTCCTGTCCTTCCCTTAGTCTAGATCAGGGTCTCATCCCACACTCTCAGGGCTCACTCTGCTTTTCTTTGGGGGGCATTTTTTTTACTTTTTAATATGATGTTATATGAGCAGCAGCTAAATCGCTCTTCTAAATGTGTAAGCTCAGGGCAGCACAATGTTGCTTGATGCTTCAGGTTTGTATGGTGAACAGCAGGAAGGGAGGGGGAGAAAACAGAAATCTATGTGGGAAGTTCCAGCCCAGGGAATTTTAATTTGTCTACCTTAATATGGGCATTCTGTAAAACCCCACATACTTTAAGGGCAGGAATTGTTTTTTTTTACAATTTATATTTTTCCCTGTTAAAGGAAAAGCATTAGCAGCATATATTCAACGACACTGTTCTACTGTGTAATGGATTTGTGAAATAACATAATCAAAAAAGCTTGAAAAATCCAAGTAGGGTGATAAATTATTTGCAAATTCTCCTATTCTTAAATTTCTTCCTTCCACACACTTTGATCCTGTATTTTTGCAAAATCTAATATCTGAAGGGAAAAAAAAAAAACCTCAGTAAGGTGTTAAAGATTAATAAAGCATAAATAGTTTCTTGTTCATTTTCCAGCAGCTGTAACATTTAAATGTGCAAATATCCTTAAGTTAAAAAACTCAGTTGGTATTTCAATTTTGTGGATGCCAGTTTTGGTAATAAAATCACTCCATATGGTCAAATAAATAAAACAAAAGCTTCTTGATTCTAAAGCAATTATCAAGCAGTATCATGAGATGTGTTCTCTCCACGCCTGACTCCACTCCTCATTTCTTTCTGAGCCTTATCAGAAAGTTCATGCCAAGAAATGACATAACCCCAGGGAATGTGGCCACATACTGCAGGAAAATGCATTTTTTTTTTTACACAAAACCTCAGTCAAACGTTCTATGTCCAAGTGTCCAAGGCAGATGGTAGCAAGTGACCAGTAGTAACCGTTAAAAATCGACAGGGTTGATTCGTTACCCAGCAGCCCACGGGCACTTTATTGGCTCCTCTCCCCCAACAGCACCCCCAACACCACCAAGTGTCAAGTCCTCCCACATGCCAGAGAGGCACATCTTCGCCTCTATGGTCCCAACGTTGTGAAGGAGCGTCTTCTCCTCTTCCCTGTGACTCTATGGTTTCTCCTCGGGAAGAGGGGCAATGTATAAAAAGCACATGCGCGTAGGCGAGGGCACGCCATTTTCTCTTCAACGCCAGGACGAGGTTCCTGTGTCACCATGGGCCGCCGTCCAGCCCGCTGTTACCGGTATTGTAAGAACAAGCCGTATCCCAAGTCTCGCTTCTGCAGAGGTGTCCCTGATGCCAAGATCCGCATCTTTGACCTGGGCCGGAAGAAGGCAAAAGTGGATGAATTCCCCCTGTGTGGCCACATGGTGTCCGATGAATACGAGCAGCTCTCCTCTGAAGCACTGGAGGCCGCCAGAATTTGTGCCAACAAGTACATGGTGAAAAGCTGTGGAAAAGATGGTTTTCACATCCGTGTGCGGCTCCATCCCTTTCATGTCATCCGCATCAACAAGATGCTGTCCTGTGCTGGGGCTGACAGGCTGCAGACCGGGATGCGAGGTGCCTTTGGGAAGCCGCAGGGGACGGTGGCGAGAGTTCACATCGGGCAGGTCATCATGTCCATCCGCACGAAGCTTCAGAACAAGGAGCATGTGATTGAAGCCCTACGCAGAGCCAAGTTCAAGTTTCCAGGCCGCCAGAAGATCCACATCTCCAAGAAGTGGGGCTTTACCAAGTTTAATGCTGATGAATTTGAAGACAAAGTGACTAAGAAGCGCCTGATTCCTGATGGTTGTGGAGTTAAATATGTCCCTAATCGTGGCCCCCTGGACAAGTGGCGAGCTCTGCATTCTTGAAATTTTTGAGACACTGCCTCCTTTGACCATGCTGGTCTGATTTATGTTCAGCAATAAAGTCTGTTTTATGTTCTGTTTTAAATTCTGATTTATGTTCATCAATAAATTCTGGCAAAAAAATTAGTTATTGTTAATACTTTAAATGTTTTAAAAATATCCAATTTTTTTGACTATAGACTACTACTAGAGAAATGTTCAGAATAAACACTAGAAAGTTTTAACAGTAATAGTTAAAGTGAGGATGAAATGTGTAGGGGATTAATAGAGAAAGCTATGTAATGCTAATGCAAACACTTTAACTTGGGCGTCTAGGGAAATACATCAAAACTTTTATTTGTAGTAAAGTCATATATTATGCAACTTTCTTGAAATTGAATAAAAACCCGAGAAAATCCAAGATTTGTAGGGAACAAATGCTGTTTATAGAAAATAGACATTAAAGATGAAAATAATGGCAGACATTAATGATATTCCAACTATAGACTCTTTGAAACTGAAATAAATAGGTTCTTAAAACTGTTGCTTATGGTTTCTTATAAATGCTTGCACATTATTTTTAGAAATACCTATCATCTCCAATTATCAATTTTAGGACAATTGGACATCGCTGCAAGAGGTTTTTCAAGGCAAACCTTACATTATCTGGCCCTCGCGAGAAAAGAGTGTAATCTTTCTTCATCACCAAAAGGTTACAGGTTGACAACAGAGTTTATATTGCTTGTACCTGAGTCCCAACAGAACCAACAGAACAGGAAAAAATGACACTAAATCAGCTATCACTGATCTAAAAGGACCCCAGAGAGAGTTTGCAATCTGTAGGTATGTGCCCTACATTAGAGTTAATCTTGATTACAAAGGTGGGAGTTTGTTTGCTTTAAAATTCTTGGGTCTATATGACATTTTTTAATTCCAGTTCTTTAAGTTTAGTTTTCCAAATCCAAATTCTGCAGTGTTTTTCTTAAATGAACTTAATCATTACAAGTCAACATATTTAATAAAAGCAACAGTATTAAACAATGTGGAAACAATTACTTTAAAAATTATTTTCATTTAAATCCTTTGTCAATCCTAAATGCTTGTCAATCCTAAATACCTGGATATTTCCTTCAGGCACTTATTATATAATAATTCCTACTTGTATATTTTTAAATGAAGTTGCTGTTTTAAGCTATAATATTTTTCTTTTTATGTATAAATTGGAAAGAGAACAAAAACTAAATAATATGAAGATATAGAAGAGCACTGTAGCCTAAGAAACATTTTCCTTAACATGTTTAGGAAATTAAGTTCTATAAATAAAGGTGTACATGAATCAGATCTTCTGACTCCTCTCATGCCCTATTTACCTTTTACCACACTTTCAAAAACAAAGTGCAAAACAAATCAATACAAAACAAATCATTTTTTAGTCCATGTTATTACAACTATGATGCAGTTTTGAAAATATTTCTCATCTTCATATTCACCCCTGTTTTTGGTTTCAAATTTAAACATGTTGAACTTCAAGCTTGGAACTCTAATCACTCATTAAATATAGGGAGGCAGTTAAGGAAAATCCCATGAAAGTTTTTTGCCCTAGGAGATTGAACGTTATGATTGTTCATGCAAGTAGATACTTGGAGAGGAAATGAAAGATTAAAAATGACTGCATTTAAAAATTGGTGGGTGTCATCAAGGTTTATTTCACTATAGTTTTCTACTAAAAATATTATATATAAATTTTATTTCCTTTAATATTAAGATACTCTGATTTTTGTTTTTCATAACAAAAATCCCATTATGTTCTTCAATCCATGATTTTGTTTGTTCAGCATATTTGTGTCTTCTGATCACTCTATTAAAAATTGATAAAAAGACAATTGAGCTGAAGAATAATCATATTTTGCAGAGTCCTTCATTTCTAAATTATGTTCAAAATGGAAAATTGGGGAATACATTGTGTATTCATATATTCAAGCACTACTGCAATGAAACAGTTACCTGCTTACTTAAAATAAATAAAACCACATTTAACTAAATTCAAGCAAATAGTACATTATAATACTCTTCGATTTAGTTGATAGAGACTAAGATTTTATGGGAATACTGAATCAGAAGACAATGAAATCTTCAATTGGTCATGCACCATATCAATTTAGTCTTGAAAAGCAGAGTCCATAAATAATCATTAGATAATCCACCACCACTTTATGCCCTCTGAAATATGGAATTATAATGTAATTATAATAAGGTTATTTAGCCTGAAAAACCTTCAACAGCTTTATACTGTCTACCCTGACATAATTCATGTAAGATTTCTTGACTGTTAGTGTGTCATATTGACCTAAGGATTCAGTTGAAATATCATTAAGTTCGAATCATCTCCTGTCTAGTAAAGACAGGTCGTTTTAAAGTAATGCCTTTATTGTTGTCATTAAAAAAAAAAAAAAAAAAAAAAAAAAAAGGAAAAAAGACCTATGGCTTATTTTGAAGCAAATAATGTAAATAATGAGTAAAGACAAAAGTAGATCAAAACTACATCATCAGGGGCCTCCCCGGTGGTGCAGCGGTTGAGCGCTGGGTTGCGAAGCTGCCTGCAGCCTCTGCGGCGCTGGTTCGATCCCCGGCTGCTCCCCGGCCACCAGAGGAGGGTCCCACATGGCGCGCAGACCTCTCCTGGCGCCCGCTGCTCCCCTCAGCAGTGTACCTCGGTCCTTCTGCCTGCTCTGCTCCCTGCTCTGGCTCTGGTGAATTCACTCACCCTCCCGCGCTTCTGACTGTACCCAGTGCATGTATAAACAAAACAAATAAATAAATTTAAAAAAAATTAAAAAAAACATGCCTCTATTAAAAAAAAAAACCTACATCATCAATAGTAATTCAGAGTGATTATTAAACTGAGGTCAGAGGTCGTTATACTGACAGGTAGATAGTAAGGAAAACTGACAAGATGATGGGATTTAAATTTCTGTTTCTTCATTTACTTGGGCAAATTACTTAATATTGTTATTCCTTAATCTTTTCAATTTCAAAATGAAATTAAGACATTGACATTAAAAAGTTGTTTTAGGATTAATTGAGATAACATCATAAGAGCGGTAAGAAGATCATACCTTATATATATTAATATGCCTAGTTAATAATAATTAATATCAATGTTATCACAAATGCTCCTATTTGATTGCTTCTCAACTTCTGATTTTTGTTGCTTGTGTCGTTATTTTTCATGATTTATCACCCTAATATTCTGTTTTTCAACTATAATTCCCTCTAGTTGTAAGATGAGTTCTAGATTTAATTTAATATTCTGATTTGAGTTTTTAATTTTTATCTTTATTTTGTAATTTCGAATTTCATATAATTCTATTTTGTCATCTGTTGTTGAAACTATCTTTTAAAACTGTAATTGTGTTCTACTAGTTATCCTCTACATATGTATCACTTACTGAGATTTGCTTTATTGCCAAACTAGATTTTTTTTAAATCTGCCTGACTGACACTTTCATTCAAGTTTCCTTTCTTTTTCTTCTGCTTTTCTAGACAATGATTATATAACCATTATCACCATTATTTTTATACTGCTTTTGGCTGATGTAGACTATTCTACCCAGAACTTTGATTTAAACTGAAAGATTGTAAGTCAATTTCTCTAGTCATCCTTTCACATAATTTTCTCTTCATTCCATCTTCTCTAAGGGTGCCATAGTTTGAGAACTGCATAATATTATTTATCTACTTATCTGTAGTCTCCGGATGAGAGGATAGAGAAAAGAGAGGGGTTTATATTCTTTGGTGGATGCTAGATTGATTCCTTTCCTGAGACCCATGAAATATCATAGACCGAGGCCAACTCCATGTAGGCATGCAATTCAATCCTCTAGCTGTGTTATGTTTCTTTTTTTTTTAAATTTTCTTTAAAGATTTATTTATTTATGTATACAAGAACCGGGATACAGGCCAGATGCGCGGGAGAGTCAGAGGATTCACCAGAGGCAGAGTGGGGAACAGAACAGGCAGACTGATGAAATACACTGCTGAGGGGAGCAGCAGGCAGGACAGGAGAGGTCTGCTATGCTATGTGGGATTCTAGCCGGCTGGCCCGGGATCAAACCCGCGCTGCAGGGGCTGCAGCCAGCTTCACAGCGCTGCGCTCAACCACCTGCACCACAGGGGAGGCCCCTGTTTCTTTATTTTCATCCTGCTGCTATTCCTGGAAAGCAGCAAGACTAATTGTTGAACATTTTTGATGTTGATTGGGACTCTTCCTGTCAATGAATTTTCCCACCATTTCCCCTTCTATAACTACTTACAGGTTTAGTACATTTCCATATTAGGGTATCAGTGAGTCATTTTTTAATTTGACATTTCTTCAGGAATGCTTCTAAGACTTTGAATAGTTTTGAATAGGTACTTTTAATAATTGATCATTCCATAATCATTATGTCTCCCTATCTCTCAAAAGATGGGATTAAATTAAACCAGAAATGTTTAATTAAAAAGAAATCCAGACCTCCAATATCATATAAGCCTTCATTTTAAGTTCTCTTTTCTCTTAAATTTTTGACATGCATAAAACATGTCCCTTTCTTTGCCTGCTTGTATCTATTTGTTTTGCTATGTTATTCATTTCACTAGATATTGAGGAAGGGGATTCTTTGATTCTGTTTTACTTCACTTTATTCACTCAGAAATCCTTTTAATGTCATACTAAATTTATCTACTTCTGGAAATTTTATCTTTAATTGGTGCCAA